AAACTACACAAAGACAAAATCCGAATTGAAAAAGTTTCCTGTTATCGTGCAACACAGTATCTATTATAAGATGATAAATCAAGTATTGACAACTACATATATTTTGAAACCATGAATCGATCAATGTTAGGCCACGATTAGAAACCTGGAAGCACTGAAAGACGGCCGTTTCGTCCTGGTATAGGACTCCTCAGCAGTGCGCATCCACGATTCCTGAACCCCACAGGACTCGAACCAAGGACCTTCGGTATTGTAGGGGAACGCCTAACCACTTAAGTCTCATACCAGGACGAAACGGCCGTCCAGTGCTTCCAGGTTTCTAATGGAGTGGCCTAATATTGATCGATTCACAGTTTCAAAATTGTGTAACTTAACAATCTTCACAACCCCGTAATGCAAACTACATATATATCTTGAAATGTACATCAACCCTAGAAGGGCTGAATAACCATGATATGCTATCAACCTATGAAGTCATTGACTATGGGACTGAATAGTTTATGGGTTTCCATAGGATTATCTCAACTAGCAGTTGACAAAAAATAGGCTTTAGAACTGCCCTAATGATGTCCAACCTTCGTCATTCCTTAGATATTAAGTTTGAAAACTACTTCAAACTTATCGATCTTGTAAAAAATTGATTCTTTCTTCTCGAATCACGATGTTTATAGCCTATATTTTGTAAGCTCATTATGACTGAGTGGATTGACTTTAAGTTACTTTTAATTAAATTAATAATTTTGGTTAAACAGTTGTGTAGGCAGTCGATAAGAAGCGTTGGACCTAGGTTTCGCACTAGTTGGAGTTTGTCATCAAGGTGTATCTGTAATCTTTAAAAAGAATAATTTTGATTGTGAGATTTGAACCATTAAGCTATTCAAGTTTCACCTGAAACATTGTAGAATGACGATGTCGACAATCATCATCATGTTAAGTGAAATGACTTGAAAAAACATTTAATTTCATCTGATACTGTGAGATTGGAGCATCTGTTTAGATTCAGGCCATGTTCTAACTACCAGCACGTATTTATCGGCGGTTTACAGTCTGTAAGAAGGACACAGAAAGGAAACTCCTCAGAGTTCTACTTAACAATATCAAAGCCAGGTGTATATTTCAGGAGCAACTAGAAAAAAACAGTTAGTCAGTCATGTAAATAATGCCTACCACGACGCAGCTTGGAGTGATATCCAAAAATCTGTGGAAATAGAAGTTATATCTTTCGGTTAGTTATACCAAAATATAAGTGGATTTCAGTAGCATCTACTGAACTGACAGATGCTCGGAAACTTATCCCGTCTGACTTTGAACACAATGAAGAACGAAGGCAGCTTGTGCACAGATTGATGGTGGGTAGCGAGAGATGGAAAAGGTGGCAGCGATAGGTAACAGTAGAAAACCGTTCAAACTTCAATGAAACTGGTATAGGGGTGAAACTGTTTATGAGATTATCTCGGGAAGAGACGGGACTACTATTCATTTTCATTCCAGGAGATTGGGTCGATTGGTAGGACACTTTAGGGATCAGTTCAATTGGCCTTTAGCCACACTTCCGTTATTCACCATCTCCAGTCAACCTGAGTGGCAAATTGACATAAGTCCTTCAACTGTTAATGAGGTTGGAGAGGCTATCGGTAATATGAAGCGAGGGAGAGCAGCAGGCCTTAACAGGTTGACCCTTAAGATTTTTAAGGACGGCTTTCCAGGTTTAGCAGTTAGAATGACTAAGATCTTAGGTAGATTCTGGGAGCTGGACGTAATCCCATCCGACTGGTCCCAATCACTGATTGTTTCAGTTTATAAGAAAGAACAAAAGTCCTCTTGTGACAATCACAGAGAAATCAGTTTGACTAATTTAGTGTCCAAAATATTAGCTTCGGTAAAACTTCGACGCCTAACTATGGCTCGTGAAGAGGATACTTGTAAAAACCAGGCGAGTTTCAGACCTGAACGTGGATGTATAGACCAACTATTCATCTTTCGACAGGTTCTAGGACACAGACACATTTTGATATCCCACAAAGGGTGGAATTTGACTGTCTCTCACTGATAGGAGTACCATAGAAGTACATTGACCTTACACAAGCTCTCTAATCGAACACTACCAGTCAAGTGAGAGCCTATGGCCAACTGTCATCAGATTGATAACTTCAAGTGGTGTTCGTCAGGGTTGTCCACTTTCTCCATTATTATTCAACTTTGTCGTTGACATCTTTTAGAGATGACACTAAGAACAGACGATATTCGCAGAGTACCAGTATTTGAATATAGGTGTCTCCGAAGCATTGTTTATAGATCCTGGGACCATCGAGTACGCAATCCCAGGATTAGGAATAGGGTACTAAGTAAGGATGACAAACTAATTTGTGTTGTGGATCTTCAGCAATTGAGGTAGTCGGAATTTGTTACGTACGTCTAACCACCGGTTACCTCGATAAATGATACTGTCTGATGTAGGTGTAGGCTAGAAGAAAGCTACGGACGGCCAATTAAAAACATGGCACAAATACATGAAGTTACTCACAAGTGGACCGAACTATGTTGGTAGGTGTAGGCTACCTGCATGGCGTCCGTGAGACAGTAGTAACCAATAATTAGGGACTTTGAATGGTACGACTAAAAATCGTTTGCAATGGCACAGGTGCATCCATTCGTCATGTTATCTCAAATTAAAATCTCCTGAATTCATCATCACCTTTATCTTTTTAAGCTTATTTCACTGAATTATACTTATTGAATAATATCTTTGAACCCTGATCTTTTCGACTACTGCTTATACTTATGCTACCTCTACCACTATGGGATTTGAATTGACAATTGCATCTCTGTGCTATCGTGGTATGTCAACTTGAACAGATCTACGTACGAACGTACGTACGAAGTCCCATGTTGTAGGTGACTAACTGTGTCAGTAGGGATTAAAGTGTTTTATATGTAATCTTTCGATTCTTGAGATTAAGTCTACCTATTCATTTCAATCTTCTTATTTCCACAATGGAGCTGATCAGTTGTTTAGAATGTATAATGTAACTAAATTGGACTACAGACCATGATAGCTAGATAAAACGAGTACGTATTAGAAGCAAGTGAAAGCTTTTGATTCATTTGTAAAGGTTTTCATTGCTGATGTTATGGATAACAATTAGTCAATCTATTTTGACTCAATTTCGGATTGAGTAGCCACATAGTTAAAACATTAGGCGTTTGAAGTGAAGGTCACTGAATTCTGGTCCAAAGTTGAACATCATAACTAAGATGGAGGAGGTACATCCAGCTTGTATTGATACAGCTGATCAAAATCACTTGAAAAATCATCAATTGGAATCCTGATTAAAATTTGGTTGATTTTTTGTCTACTATTTACTATATAGCATAATAACTCTGACTTGTCCATATTTTTCAGTAAGTTGCAACGTAGAACTTCGTACGTATGTACATAAGTTCACGTTGCCATACCACATTAGCACAGAGAGGCAAATGTCAAATCAAATCCCATAGTGATAAAGATAGTAGACGCATTAATGGTCATGAAGAAGACTAGGGTTTGAAGATATTATTTACTTCAGTGAGATAAGGTTATGGAAAGACAAAAGTAGAGGTGTTGACGAATCCAGAAGATTAGGATTTGAGAGAGCACAACGAATGGATGCACTTGCGCCATTGCAAACGATTTCGAGCCATGTCGTTCAAGGTCTCTAACCATTGGTGACTATCGTCTCGCGGACCCCAACTAGGTAGTCTACATCTACCAACATGAATCAGTCCACTTGTCAGTGACTTCATGCATTTCTGCCATGTTTTGGTCTGGCCGCCTCTAGCTTTCTTCCAACCTATTCCTACACCACAAAACATAGCTCGTCGAGGCAGTCGGTGGTTAGCCATACGTAACACATGTCCCAGTCACCTCAACTGATGAAGCTTTATCACTTCATGTATTGATTTGCCATCCTTACCTAGTACTCGTTTCCTAACGACAGCATTGTTTACTCGGTTGTCCCACGATATACGAGCAATGCATCTTAAACATCTACGATCGAATACTAGTAACCTACGAACATCTACCCTTAACGGCCATGTTTCACATCCATATAGGAGAACGGAACGAACTGTTTCGCAGTACACACGTCCTTTGGTTAGCAAACGGATATCACGCCTACGCCATAAGTGACGAAGGTTGGCAAAAGCCAATCGAGCTTTCTGTATCCGCGCTGAGATTTCGTCAGTCACCAGGCCATCGGCACTGATGAGACTCCCCAGATAAGTACAGTGATCAACACGCTCGACTACTTCACTCCCTATCATTAGTTCAGGTGCCGATGCAACCCAGTCTTGAAACAACATTTTGCATTTCGACGGGGAAAACCTCATCCCGAACATGCGCGAATTGTTGCTTATGGTAGTCAGAAGACTCTGCATTTTGTCAGCGTCTTCACCGAATAGAACTATGTCATCGGCATATTCTAGATCAGTAAGCGATTTTCCCGGTCAACCCCTGAAAAACCTGACGAGCTTAACGTTAACTTTAGGAACATATCTATGATAAAATTCAACAAGAATGGAGAAAGTAGACATCCCTGAAGGACTTCACTTGAAGTGAAGAATTCCAATGACAGCAATTATTTTTAAAACACGTCATCACTATATCTTACTATAATGATTTTGGCAAGTACTTGCGACCAACTGTACACTTACAAAATTTTTTATTGTCCTTATCTCAACTTTTCAGTTAGTTATGATGATTCATAACTCAATGATAAGAATACTTAATGGTTGTTAGTTCAAAACAATGCGCTTCAATTAAGCTGGTATGTACTTACATGTACATGTACATAGGACGCATAATTTGATAGCTTGTTATTATTACCAAATGGGAATTTTTCACCTACATGGTGGGTAAATGATACTATCTATTATGTTGAATGATATAAATTTCAGGAAATAATCTTCTAATTAGTTGATAGTTAATCAACAGATATCACAGTAAATTCAACTCCACTTATACGAACCGAAATAAGTGAAAAAAAAAACAATTAAGTCTTTTTTACAACACAAACATGGTAGTGTGTAATCAATTCAGAAAAACAGCATTTCAAATTTGTAAAAAAAACAAAACATATTTGTTTCTTAACCATGGTAATAACAGAGGCACAAAAATAAACCATTTTTATTAGGGAAGTAAGTAAAAAAAGGGAAAAATTTGAATGCATATAAACTGAGATGGTAAGTAAGTACATTCATTGATAAATTAAAGAGATAAATTGAAAAATAAAACAGAATATTTACATTTATCCAAAAAAAAACAAGTAACCGGAGAAGACAAACAAATGGAAAAGTGTTCATTCAATAAAAAAGATTACTTTTTTTCATTTTCAATAGTATGTAAACCTTCATTTATCACAGATGACCATGAACTATTATCAATTTTTATAAGAATAATTTCTACAGCATTTTCACGTACAATTAATTGTGATCGTTTATTATCTATTGTACCTGGTAATTTATCAACATGAAGACGATAATTTTGTCCTTTTAAGGTATCATGTCCATGAAATTCAAATAAGAAATTATCATTGTTTAAATGAAATATAATTTCACCATTTGATGCTTTTTTATAAAGTTTAGGAATTAATTTTTTATGAAATTCTAATATAGTTGATGATTTTAAACCTTGAATTTGTATAGTAATACGTAATTTATTTATACCTAAACTTGTATCTAATGCATAATTTGGTATTAGTATGTTATTATCGTCACGATTTGAATATGATGATGCCATAGTTTTTTGAATGAATATATCTAAAAGTGAATCGGATAAAATAACGAAAAAGGTTATTATTACTAATGAAGTTAGCTAATATAGTGATAAGACATTCCACTTTTATATAGTATTTATTACAACGAGAACTCTAGACACTTTGTACTTTTAATGTCATAGATCACATCTGTTCTCAAGAAGACTATAAATGAATTGATATACTACTGAATCTAACTTCACCAGTAGTCCCTTCGGGGCTACTGCCGGTCCCAAGCCCGGATAAAAGAGGAGGGGTTGGACATGGGGTTGGCGACCCCGTTCCCTCGAAATCTAACTTGCCAAAAAAACGTTAACCAGAAAAAACAATTCAAACCATTTTAACTCTGCCCTGGAAGTTGGAAGAAGAATTATGACGTCGCGTGATGAAATCCGAGTTCACTCGGAAGTCACGGGGCCGATGCCTCTTCCGACAACCAGAGCAACCATTTTTTCAGGTACATGGAACGTTCGTATATTATGGGAGATTGGAAGACTATTTCAAGTTGCGGCAGAAATGAAAAGATACAACATCGAGGTTCTTGGCATCAGTGAAACGCATTAGACACAGGTAGGACAACTTAGACTAGCTTCAGGGGAACTGCTGTTATACTCTGGTCATGAAGAGGAAAACGCTTCACATACACAAGGAGTTGCACTGATGCTGTCCAAACATGCACAAAAGGCACTAATAGGATGGGATGAAACCTCATGGACCCAGGATCATTAAAGCATCCTTCAAAACAAAGAAAGAGGACATTACAATGAACGTCATCCAATGTTATGCACCTACCAACGACTACAATGACGACGTTAAAGATCAATTCTACGAAAGGCTGCAGTCAATCGTCGAGAAATGTTCACCAAAGGATTTGACCATTCTGATCGGAGACCTGAACGCCAAGGTTGGAATGGACAACACTGGAAATGAAGACATCATGGGACGACATGGACTGGGAGAAAGAAACGAAAATGGTGAGAGATTTGCAAACCTATGTGGCTTCAAAAAAATGGTCATCGGTGGCACAATATTCCCGCACAAACGTATACACAAAGCCACATGGATTTCACCGGACCACACTACTCAGAACCAAATCGACCATATCTGTATCAACAAAACGTTCAGAAGGACCATGGAGGATGTGAGAACCAAGAGAGGAGCTGATGTAGCTTCAGATCACCACTTGTTGGTCGCCAAAATGAAACTGAAACTAAAGAAGCACTGGACAACGGGGCAGACAACATCACACAAGTTTAATACGGCCTTTCTTCGGGACACTGTAAAACTCAACGAATTCAGGATAGCCCTCACCAATAGGTTCCAGGCCTTGCACGATATACTCAATGGAGAGGAAGCAACATTGGAGAACAATTGGAAAGGGATCAAGGAGGCAATCACTTCGACATGTCACTAACTTCTGGGTCACAAGAAGTACCATCATAGGGAATGGATCTCTGTTGATACTCTTGCAAAAATTGAAGAAAGGAGGAACAAGAAGGCAGCAATCAATGTCAGCCGAACAAGAGCGGAGAAAGTTACCGCACAAGTTGCATACACAGAAGCAAACAGGGAAGTGAAGAAGAGCATCAGAGCTGACAAACGAAAATATGTGGAAGATCTAGCAATGACGGCGGAAAAAGCTGCAAGAGACGGAAACTTGAGACAATTGTACGAAACAACAAAGAAGCTGGCCGGAAACTATCGTAAACCAGAACGACCAGTGAAAAGCAAGGAAGGCCAAGTAATCAGCAACACTGAAGAACAGCGAAACAGGTGGGTAGAGCACTTTCAGGAACTACTGAATCGACCAGCTCCACTGAACACACCTAACATCGAAGAAGCATACATGGACCTCCCAAATAATATTGGCGCACCTACGATTGAGGAGATCAGTATGGCCATCAGACAAATCAAGAGCGGCAAAGCAGCAGGACCAGACAACATTCCAGCAGAGGCACTGAAAGCAGATGTGGAAGCAACTGCGAAAATATTTCACATCCTCTTCAAGAAGATTTGGGATGAGGAACAAGTACCATCAGATTGGAAAGAAGGATACCTGATCAAAATACCAAAGAAAGGCGATCTCAGCAAGTGTGAGAACTACAGGGGCATCACTCTTCTGTCAATACCAGGCAAAGTCTTCAACGGGGTATTGTTAAACAGAATGAAGGACTTCGTAGACGCCCAACTTCGAGATCAAAAGGCCGGATTTCGTAAGGATCGATCGCGTACTGACCAAATTGCTACATTACCGATCATCGTGGAAAAATAAATTGAATGGAATCCACCACTCTATATCAACTTCATTGACTACGAGAAGGCATTCGATAGCGTGGATAGGAAAACACTGTGGAGGCTTCTTCGACACTATGGTGTGCCTGAGAAAATAGTTAACATCATACGGAATTCTTATGATGGATTCAACTGCAAAATCGTACACGGAGGACAGCTAACAGACTCTTTCGAGGTGAAGACCGGTGTCAGGCAAGGTTGCTTACTCTCACCCTTTCTCTTTCTCCTGGTGATCGACTGGGTTTTGAAGACGTCGACATCTGGAGGGAGGCACGGTATCAACTGGACAGTTAGGACACAGCTGGACGATCTGGACTTCGCAGATGACCTGGCTCTTCTATCGCACACGCAACAACAAATTCAAGAGAAGATGACTAGTGAAGTAACAGCGTTTGCAACAGCAGGTCTCAACATACACAAAGGAAAAAGCGAAATTCTCCGATGCAACACAATATGCGCCAAACAAATCACTCTTGACGGAGATTCTGTGGAGGACGTTAACACCTTCACATACCTGGGCAGCATCATTGACAATCAAGGTGCATCCGATGCACATGTGAGGGCGTGGATCGGCAAAGCAAGGGCTGCATTTCTACAATTGAAAAATATCTGGAACTCAAATCAACTTTCAACCAAAATCAAAATCAGGATTTTTGATACAAATGTCAAAACAGTTCTACTGTATGGAGCGGAAACTTAGAGAACTACGAAATCCATCATCCGCAAGATACAAGTGTTTATTAACAGTTGTCTACGCAAAATACTTCGGATTCGTTGGCCAGACACCATCAGCAACAACCTACTACTGTGGGAGAGAACAAACCAGATTCCAGTGGAGGAGGAAATCAGGAAGAAGCGTTGGAAGTGGATAGGACACACACTACGAAAAGCACCTAACTGCGTCACGAGACAAGCCCTCACATGGAACCCTCAAGGCAAAAGGAAAAGAGGAAGGCCAAGGAACACATAACGCCGAGAAATAGAGAATGATATGAGAGGAATGAACAAACATTGGACAGAACTGGAGACGGAAGCCCAGGACAGAGTTGTTTGGAGAAAACTGGTGAGCGGCCTATGCTCCATCGGGGGTAACAGGCGTGAGTAAGTAAGTAAGTACTATTGAATCTATCAGAATGTTTACCTATAACAAACAAAGTATCATTTAAAAATCCATTTAGCGTAACCCTGCGTAAATAATTGGTGCATGTTCTGCATAATGATGTTGAATGCAGATTACTTTGTTTTTTTTATTCAAGAAATTTGATTTAGTCAGTTGCTTAGCACCAACGTATTCTTCGCTACAGGTATGCGTACATCTAAGCTGCTGCATACTACATTATACCAATTATGGAAGGAACTAATCAGATGAGAGAAAAATTTAGGTCCCTTCGGCAGACGTTAAAAGTTATGATATAGAGCTCAAAGAAATGATATAAGATCGAAGGATGACTAGTAAGTAATGAAAGTTGGCTTAAGATTCATATCAAAAGGAATGGATACAAATGTATAATTGCAACTGATTTACTGGTATGCCACTTGTCTTTATCGTGGATTATGAGCCTCAAAAAGACATAAGCTAGGAGGACCTGAACCTACAAATATGATTCAGAATGCTAGTCAGACTCTGCGAATTCATGAAAAGCATCGAAATGGTTGATGTTTTTTTAGCCTGCTACTGTATCAACTATTAGAGATGAACAGAAACCCAATTAAACGCCAAGATATGTAAGTCATCAAACACTTTAGGTAACTTGTCTCAATCCATTTCGTAATATTAATACAAAGTCATAAACAAGGAAGAAACACGAATGATATTTTGTTTAATCTGAGCTGCCAATCAATGAAAGTAACCGATATTCAAGAGCTATCGAGCATTAACATTTGGAGGCTTATATTAAGGTGATGATTTAGAGTTAATGATAAGAACTTACCACCGAAGCCCTCAATACACAGGTATTTGTGTACAGTATCAGTGGATTAACGATGCCTCCAGGTAAGTAAGTACACAAGTATATTTAGCACGAAAAAGAGAAATATCGGTCATTTAGAATAACACAATCCCTAGACACCTTAAGAATAGAGTATCCTGTCAGAATAGACAACCGTTCCCTCTTATTCTCAATTCTTACTATCCTCCAGACTTTATGCTACATCATTAATTCCAAAGAACCCGATCGTAGCTGCTAGGTTGGAGCACTGCTAGAACTTGCTCATAGTGACTTTCTGAGTAAATTTTATTCATCAAAGCACTTTATTTTTTGAGTTAAAATAAGATTAAAAGCAAATTTACACAACAATTACGGTATCTCCTCACTGTAACGCTATATTTTATACAGTCTGTCGTTCCCAAGGTGATTCAAAATCCAGTATCCAGTGTCAGTGTGACGAGTTAGTATCAGCAGATTGATTTCTTTGCATTATCTTCTTTTTATCTTACCACTATCACGAATCGTCCACAATATTTAGTGATTATTAGTCAATCAATGGAAGTGGCTACTGTGCTTCAGATTTTGTCTAACAGCCATTGCAACTAGCGTCTCCCTGCTGCCTCGTCCGTCACACATCATAATAATTAGGTCTACTTGTCTGGTGGCTGTGAATTAAAATAACGGTGAAGACCTAACTGAAGCGATTTGGGCTCGGTAAGACAAGAAGAATGATCTCCCAATCACATTAAACGTTGTGAGAGCCA